TTACAGAGCATTTTATCTGGATCTTTGCATTTCCACAAGCTTTTAAAATACAGTGCAAAAACTAAAGAGCACTCTCCACAGAACACTTATTGGTTTAATCAGTAAATAAGACAACTTTCAGCACATTTGCAGTGTTTATTTACAGCACAGCACATTCATGTACAAATCTGTTTAGCTTATCATTTCACAGACATTACATTTACAGGACAGACCCAATTGAAGCCTGGAGAGTTCATCGCTTCCACGTCCAAGCTGGAAATGATCTGTGTCCACATCAGGAAGGACTGAACCCTGAGGAGACCAGTCTGTTTTCTAAAAGGAAGGTTTTCTATGTGACGTGGGTCTTTAAATCATATTGTTTTACACTAACACAAATTTTTGAAAAAGTCTCAGTAATATTTGTAACATTATACAGAAATACTACTGCTGACAATAATAACCATGAAAAACAGCAAGAAGTGAGACCATCGTTCTCTGCGCATGGCACTAAATACAAATACACACAGGAGGCTCAGTGAAATGCAAACATGCCAACAGATTTGATCGTTGGCAACTTTATTTAGCCACCACCCTCCTGCTGAGGTCATGAGTCCAGGCTGCTCTGAGGGTGCAACACATTTCCTGTCAGTCACCATGCGTGCTCCAACCTTTCTGAAATATTTTGCTGGCATCAAATTAAAAATCTTAAATCTTAATAAAATGAGCGGAAATAGAAACCAGAGATCATATGTTTGAGTAATCTTTATCTGAGAGCTAAGGTGAAATAAATAAAGCTTGCAGAGTCATACAGTGGCACTCATACTCAAACCCCATTGGCTCACAGGGGGCCTACGAGGAAGGACCACAGCACTTGCACACTGCTCGTGTCTTCTTCTTGTCTGATGCTCACACGGAAACTCTGTTTGAATCCAGATATATAGACTACACTGCTTCTAGAGAGCCAGCTGCAAGCGTACGAGGACTTTTATTAGTCATATTAATAAGAGAGCAGGAACAATAACGGCTGCATTTAGAAATAATTTAGAAGCATAGCACCAGCATTTTATATTTTTCCTTTATTATGCAAGTAGTTCTTTAAATTGCACTTAACTAAATAACAATAAAAAAGCTGTTCTGTAGCTTTTTCTCATATGACAGTCTCTCGTGTTTGTGCCCCTGTTTGTGATCCAGACCTACAAAACAGGCCTGGCAATCAGTGTTCTGTCATCTTAAGCCAAAAATGAACTTTCAGTTTCAATCAATGCTGGAAATGTTTGTGTACAGGTCTGCATGTACGTATCTGTGCTGGTCTTTGACAGCTTCTACAGCTCCCATTCCCAGAATCTGAGTTCTGCTCAAACACGCTGAGGCCTCTCTTTTGGTATCAAATGGGAGCAAACAGTGTGTCATGCTGCCGCTACACTGTCAGTCATTACAACAGCAAACCAAATAAAATGCAACATCAAGCTACAGTAGTTACTTTAGGAGGTGTTGAGGAGGAGGAGGGTAAAGCGAAGTTGGCTTTGCAGGTTCTTAAAAAGTTCCAACAGTTGAAATAAGAGACTGACTGCAACAGTATCTGATTATATACTTACAGTATATATTTAAGAGGGTTTGTGTGGTAATGTGACAGCACTAAGTTGTCCTCAGTGAGATTGCTGGTGCGTGTGATGGGTCAGTAGATGAACTCTCCAGGGACCTCCTGCAGGGCACTGAAGGGCTCCTCGAACTTGAAGCGTTTGGAAATGGCTTTCTGCTCAGCAGTCAGGG